ACCTGGATCCATGGTATGGATCTTTATGGATCGTCATGGTTTCTATATAGGATGCATTGACATAAAATACCACCAGATCATATCCATGACCGTAGGATCTGAGATCTCATCTTTATGATGCCACTATAGAACAAAGTTATGGAAGTGAAGAATAAATAACCATGGATCCTCTGGAATTTTTCAGGGGCATCATGATTACCACAATTAAAGAATAGGCTACATCTGTGCTAATGGCATGAACAACAAAAAAGAGCCTGTATTTCATATGGTCAGCATGATATCAACAAATGCATACAGGATATGGATTCTCATGGATATCCTGAATTTTTATGCAGAGTATTCTCACAAGTATAATAGGTCACAGAATACATTCATGCCCAGGTAATGATCTATGAAGAATGAGTTTTTCCTATATCTTTCTATGACTAAATTTGCCTAAAATTTGATAAAATTAAAAATTGGTCCTCAAGTCCTTGATTCCTTGCTTCTAGGAAAAAGCAGTCTGCAGTAGAAGCCACAGGTTGAATTCATAGCTTCGTGCAAATATTTAATCACTTGAGGTTTTCTTTGATGTCCCAGCCTACACCATTCTCTAAGGGGATGAAGGCAGTTCATATCCCAAGTCTTAACAAAGCGAGACTGGAATTATACCAAGCAATTGATGCAATTCAAGAATGTCTGGACTTGCCAGATTAGAAGCTGACAGATAATTTTCAAAAGCCATAAAATCATAAATTTAATGATTTGAATGTGTTTTTTAAATCACTGCTTTAATCATGCTGGAATCATGCTGGAACCCTAACTGAGGTGCTTGGCACAGTTTTCATGAAGTCCAGCTCTGAACAGATTTAAAAGCAGGGATAGGAAAGAATACAAGGTGTGGGTGGTTGTATTATCATGCTCAATTTTTACCCCCATCAGACTGCAGTTGGGGATACCATTTTATATTGATATCTAATCCTCCTTTAGAAAGCCTTTGACCTGGCTATTTCCTTGCAGCAGGGAGTTCCAGAAATCAGCATTCCTCAAGTCAAGTCAAGACAAAGGCTCCAGAAGTATCATTTCTAAGCCTCCTCATTTAGAATGAATCTGCAGACCTAGGGGCTTTGGGTCTGCATTGCCAACACGGTGCCCAGGGACATCAATGAGCCTACAGAGCCCTCTTACCACCCACTTGACTTCCTGACTACTCTGTATGGGTTCACCTTTGAAGACTACTGGAAAACTACAGCTCCCAGAATGCAACTCCCAGGCAACTGTTAGGAGTCAGTTCATTTTGCTCCTATGGTTCCTAGATTTTTACCCTGCATTGGTTCCTAGTATGTTTCCATGCCAAATTCAAAATGCTGGCAGATCTCTGAAGCACTGCAGCCAGAGGTGTGTGAAGGACCACAAGTCGTCTCCATGTGATCACGTCTTTAAGACTTTCAGGGAGTGTTGTACTTCACATTCTGCTACTGTCAGGAATCAGTTATCACGGCTACGATGGATGGGACCTTCTCTGTCTTGGCACTCACGCTTTGGAATTGCATCTTTTAGAAAATGTGTCTAACTTCCTCTCATTCCACCTTCTGAGAAATGGTGAAGAGCATTAGCCTCCACCAGGCTTTTAATAATAATTGGAATTGCTGTTTTATTCCCCTGAATGCATATATTGGCTCTCTTTAGATAACAGTGGTGAAGTGATTTGTAATTGTTGATATTATGTTGCCAATTTATGTTATATTGTTCACTTGTTTGACAGACCTTGGCAGAAAAAGAGCAGAGAAATTAAATAAGATACCTTTTCTAGTTAGAGATGACAGCAAAATCTGCAATGGATTCGGAGAAGTTCAGAATTCTGTGACTCTGACCTGTGAATTCTGCAGCTTTTCCTGCATTATGCAGATTTTGTGGACTTCCAGGTTGTTCTTTTACTTTTGGGGAAGATTTGCATCATTGCACATGAACATTAATGGTAACTTGCAATAATCTACTTATATGTACTACTATGAATGTGTATTTGTGGAAGTGGAGGACCATTCCTAGATGTTTGACAAGCTGCAAAACACAGGTGGAAAGGATTTTACTAAATCAATGTTGTTGTTGTTGTTGTTGCAACATCATGCCATCAACTTGCCTCAGACTTATGGTGACTCTACAATTGCCCTCCAGTGTCCTGTCCTTGACAGCCTTGCTTAGCTCTTATAAACTCAAAACTGTACGTAGCTTTCTTCATGGAATATTGTATTTGGTCTTCCTTATCTTCTCCTGCCTTCAACTTTCCCAAGCATGATTGTCTTACCTTTTCATGATTTGTCTAAAGTATAACAGACTCAGTTTTTGTCAGTTTTGCTTCTAGGGGAAGTCCCAGCTTGATTTGCTCTAGCATCCATTCGTTTTTCTTTCTGTCAGTCCATGGTATTTGCAAAGCTCTCCCCAGGCACCATGCTTTGAGCACCTCAATTTTCTTCCTGTCAGCTTTCTTCACCATCCAGCTATTCCACCCATATGTAGTGATCAGGAATATCATAATGTGGATAATCTTGGACTTGGTCTCTAGTGAAAGATCATCTTCTCTAGTACAACAATCCACACATCCCTATTTCTAGTGGGAGACCTGCATCTGCAGATGTGAGCTGTAATTAGCTGGTGAACATGCCTCTAGAAACCACAAGAATCCATTAGGATGTGTATAACAGAGACGGGCTTTTATATCATTGTCAGATGGCAAAGCACTACAGGACCCATTTTCTTTCTGGCTTGATCTGACCTGTGGTTACATGGTGGCGCTTTTGCACAAGAATCACAAGGTCCCTGCTTCAGGTCAGGTTCACACCATGGTGTGGCACAGTAGGCTGGATTCGAGCTGACTGTTATGGTGCATTCCAAAAATAAGGGTGGAAAATGTGACTTTAGGAGCTCTGTGTAAACCCCATGATGATTCATGAGGGTCCATTCTTCATTTTTTTTGTTATTTTATGGAAACACCTTGTTCCAATGGATACATCCTTTTTAGAGCCCAGTGAGTACAGCAGGATGATAGCAGATTTCATTATGGGTTTGGAAAAAGAGGCCTGATTCACGTATCACAGTAACCTTTTTTTGGGGAAGAAAAATGCATTCTATCTGTTTTCTTCTCTCCCTCGCAGGAGGAGCAAAGCATCCCAGATTTGTTCATCCTTGGGAGTTTATCATTACATGCAAACTAGGTACAGTACTCTAGTTTGTTTCCTCCCCAACAAATCAGAGAACTAGGCCATGGTTTGGGTTGGCATCATTTCTCTAGTTTGTTCATTGCTTGCATGTCACAACAAACAACCCAAGAATGCAACAAAACTGTGTTCTTTAGCTGCTCTTGGACACAGCAAAAGAGATCAGGTGGAGTGTGTTCACACATTCCTAAAATCAGGGTTTTGAAACAAAAACAGACTCTGAAACCCACAATCTTAGGATTAATTTCTGAAGACGCATGCCTCAAATACATACTTTGCACAATGGTGAAGTACAATGAAGATCTGTAAGTACATGGGCACTCATATAATCATTGAGTTGACCATGGTTTTACATGGAGCCATCTAAAATTAATGAGGATTGATTTCCTAAATCCATAATTTTATACTATGATATATAGTAAAGTACAGAATTTACTTTTGGGGTATTTTTCTGGGGAGGGGTTCAGTCTTAAGGTGTCTGATCCTGTCTAACCTTGGAAATGAAGCAGGGTTGGACTGGGATGAAATCTAGAAGGATGACTTGAGTCCTGCATTGAGCAGGCAATTGGACTCGATGGTCTGCTAGGCCCTTTCCAACCACCCACGGATAGCTAATTTTCATGGTTCAGTCCATAGAAGCAGAGATACTCTGCTTGGATGGGACTTGGAGCATTTTCTCTGTAAATCTCATGAGAATCTATTTCAATCCATGCCCTGAATCCACATTTTTGCTCTGCTGTAGTACCAATGAGTGGCTGATGCATGATTTTTAAGGTACAGTCTGTGGAGGTGTGTACGCTTTCCTTGTAGTTTCTTTGCAAAATTGGTGCTGTCAATCCATTGTTTGTGTGCTCACACTGGGGAAGCACCAGTGAATGGCAGATAGATGGTTTTCAGAGCTCTGTCTCTGGAGGCAGATATGCTATGTGACTGAGTGATGGTTTACAGAATTTTCACTGCAAAAATCATACGAACATGTGTCATAGATCCAGGTTTTTGTGTTGTGTCAGTGTCTACAAGTGTCAGATCTGTGAGTTTTATAATTCAGTCCATGGAGACCAGTGTGTGTTGTGTTTTGACAGCAGTTTGCAGTGTGCCTCTCTTTAAAAATCATAGGAAATTAGGCAGAAATGTACCTTGGATCAAAGGTTTTGCATCCTGGCAGTGCCTATGAAGGTTGGATGCATGATTCTGATGGTTCAGGCCATGGAGGCAGATGCGCTGTATGATTTGATTTGTTTTGGAAGGGGGCTCCCTTTTAAAATTAGTATGAAAGGAGAATCCATTCCTGATTTTGCAGATCTAAGTTCGACGCAGACTCATTCCAAAGTTGCAATTGTATTTATTCTTCATTATTGCTCCTTATACTCAGTTACATGGGAATATACCACAGGGAACACAATGGGACTTAGACCCCTCTAGGATGGGCAACTTCTGGCCCCCCAGTGGTGACGGCCTACAGCTCTCATCAAACTAGCCAGCATGACCTACGTCGAGGGATGATGGGAGTTGTAGTCCAAAACCTCCGGAGGGCCACACGTTTCCCACCGCTGGGCTACAGGGAGGGGAGACTTCCATGTGTTGGAAGAGCTCAGGCTGACGGCCTTGACGAAGGGAAAAGTTGGCGCAAAGCGGGCAGTTCCCTCGCTCTCTCTTCCAGCCCCCTTTAAAAAGCGACTTCACCGAAATGTACGAGGCCGTTTGCAATTCGCCAAGCGCGCTTAGCTCTGCCTTCCCCGGCGCTGACTTTCCGCGCCTGCCTTCCCCCCGCCCCCCTCTCAGCTGATGGTTTCTTTTTCCCACAGTAGCTTCTAATCCAGACTGTATGGTACGTGGGCTGGTCACAAAAATCCCCATGTGGTCCGACATCATTGACATGGCGGAATCCCCCTCCAAACCCTCCTGCTAGTTATTCCAGATCGCTCGCTCAGCCAGGCGGGGATTTACCGGACCGCTCGCCTCCCTCCGGAGAAACGCGCGCGCACACACACCCCGGGCGGGTATTTCATCTCTCGCGCACCCCCATTTCCAGCACAAGGTAAGCAAACTGCCTCCCCTGCCTCGTCCTCGTCCCCTTCTCCAACCCTGGAGCTGGATAAACGCCGTGCGCGAACCTGGATTTCTCCCCGGTCCGCCCTCCCCGCCCCGGTGGCTGGAACCGCAGTGAAGGGCTCGTGGATGCACGCTTGGACTGCCGATGCGAGAGGAAGGGGGAAAGGGCGCCGAATGTCGCCCGGGGACTCGAGAAAGCCGGAGCTTCCCGGCGCGCCTCTGCCTTTCTCCTCGCCCAAAAGTGGCTGTTGCCTCTCCCTCTCCACCCCCGCCCCGTTCCTTCGCAAAGCCTCTTCTCGATCCGGATTCCTTTTGTTTCCGAGCGCAAACTGCAAGTGTGAACTGGATCCATGCGTGGCCGCGTTTGTCCGCCGGTGCTCACGCCGATGGAGCATGCTTGGAGAAGGAATGGGAAAGCGGGGCGGGGAAGCTGACCCGAGGGGGGCTGCCGGAGCCGACCCAAAAGTTTGACTCGCCCCATTTCCCTTTTGCTTCCTTACAACCCTGCAGGTCCGTCTCCCCGAGCCAGGCAGTTTCCCCGTTGCTTCTATTGCGGTCCAAGCGCCACTTCGTTCGTTCTTTCGCTTTTGCCGACGCGCAGTCCTGGCTTTCGAAGGAACGGAACGGGGGCCCTGGAAACGTGATGCGCCCCGTCTCTCTACCTTCCCTTTCTCCGGGGGAGAAAGACGGCCCGTCTTAGACGGGAGTTGTGTGTGCGGGAGAAGGGAGGACAGGGCAGAGAGTGTGAACGGGCTTTCCCACAGCAAACCCAAGACTTTCCCGGTTTTTTGGCGTGCTTTTTTGGTGACACCTCCGAGCGGCCGGAGAAGTTTCTTTCGATTTCCCGGGCTTTGGCGAGGGAAGGCGGCCTCGGATGCAAAGGGTGCGTGGCGAAGTGCTGGCTGGTGCCTCCTATTTTTTGTGGGGTGGCGGCGGCGGCGGAGGAGGAGGAGGGCGGGGGGAGACGGCGGTTAGCTGGTGACGGAGCTCATCTGTAAGGAAGGCAGCCTGCAAGAAGCATCTCTCCCCCCCCACCCCCTGCCTTTGGCTGGGAAGGGTGGAGAGTCCTACACCATCATAACCTAGTAATCCAGGGAGGCTCCCGGCGGGTGCCTTTCCTGCCCCGCTGCCTGCCCTTCGCGTGACACTTCCTAGCGGTGGTCACACGGCGGCTCCCGGCTTCGCCCCCACCCCATTTCTCTCCCCACCGAGCTCCGTGCCCGTCTCTTTCTTTCCCAGCCGGCTCTCAAAGCCACCCCTCCCCGCCGCCCAAGGGTCCTGATCCGGGACAGCCCCCTCCCCGTCTACTCTAAAGTTTTAAAAAACGCCCAGTAACTGCAAAAAGACATCGCTGCGAGGTACGGATAGCAAGCAGCGTCTGTTCCGGCCACGGTGTTGGTGCAATAGCCGCTTCAGGCAAATACCCTGGAGAAGCGGAATAGGGGCTCTCGGGGGTGGGGTGGGGTGTCCTTTTTCTTGCAAGGCGTGTTTTGTGTAGCCGAGAGGGCAGTGCGGAGTGCGCCCCCCCTCAACATGACGCGCGGCGCGGAGACGGCGAGCGAGTGGAAGGAGGCGAGCGCGCAGAGCCTCCGGCTGGTGGCCGCTCCTTGGCGGCCGAGTGGCACGTACAGTCTGGCCCTTTCTGGAGTCGGCTGGGAGGGGAGGATGCCTGTCCTTCAGCCTCAGGTGAAGGCACCCTGGCCGGCGCTCCGCCCTGCGGTCGCGGGAAGGCGAAAGCCCCCCCCCCCCGATTTTCGCGAAGTCTTTCCAAAATGTCTGGATCCAGGGGGCACGTTGGAGAAGGGAGACGGAGACAGACAGACGTCTCTCCTCCAGGCCGTCCTCCCAGGGTCCCTCCCTTCCTCGCTGACGCCAGTGGCAAAGGGGGAAAGAAAAATTCTGGAAACTTTTGATTTCCCTTGCCAGAAGCTTCCCTCTCCCCTTAAACAAAATGGCATATCACCAGGAAATGGAATGCTGTTTTGTTTCTCTTAAACAACCTTGCTTAAAGCGAAACTCGTCTTCTCCCGAGCTCGGTTTTCCTCTCTCCCTCCGTCTTTCTCTTCTTCAAAACATTTCACTTAATTAGGAAAAAAATGCCCACATAGTTTAAAAGATGGTGTGTCCTGTAATTCCAGTTAAAGACAAATTCATTCCACTCAGATTAGGGCAAACTTTGTTTTTCCTGAAGGCAAAATCTTTAATTGCTTTCTTTCTTATTCTTATTCCACCCCCCCCCCCGCACACACACACTTTAAGTTATTTGCTAACATTTATTTATTTATGCATTATTTATTTGGGAAAATCTTTCCTATTGGGTAGAGGAACCGGGCTGTCTTAGGGTGGGGTGGGGGGGGTGGAGGAGAATCAACTGTCAAGAATGTGCTTCTCAAACCTCAGACAGTGGCTTGTGTGTGTGGGGAGGTGTCCGTTGACATCTGGGAAGTGACTTGTGCTTGGAAGCGATTATTCTGGATGCAAGCCATGAGTCTCTGTAGCTCACAGTTGTCTCCTTTAGCGGATAGCATGTCCCTAGGGCAGTAGCCTAGAAAGGCTGGGACCTGGGGAGACCTGAATATGAGGCGCGTGTCCTTTCCACTGAGCTATGCATCTTCCTGCACCCAGGGCGGTGTGCCTGCGTACACCAGTGACTGGGGAACTTGGGGGAGAAGGGCTTGTTCTCCTGTTCAGCTTGTGGGCTCCTGTGGACAGCTAGTTTACTGCTTCATGAAGAGAAACCTGGTCTGATCCAGGATGGCTCTTCTTATGCTCTCCCTATAAAGGTCTTCCCAGGCCCACTGAAGTATATGAAACCACAGGGAAAGGTCATTTGGGATGTTAGACACCCATCTCTCTCTGTCCCTCTCACCCTTTTCCTCTAGATTAAGGTGATGTTGGTGAACTAGTGTCTCGAATCTGTAGATAGTTGGCAAGAGCCATGGAATGAAATCAGCCCTGGTGGGACAGAGGACCTGTGGGTTGGTGATTTGTTGGCTCAGAGAGATGTGATCAACCTATTTTGGATGGGTTGCATTTCCCCTAATTGACCAGGTCTGTATTCTTGATCTTGCTGTGACATCAGAGGCTCTGGTAGCCAGTATGGCAAGGAATACCTTTCATCAAGTTTGGGCTGACATGTCAGTTGCAACTTCTTCTGGACAGAGGTAGGCTGGCCACAGTTAGCCATGCTCTGGTCATCTCTAGGACTGACATCTGAAGCCATGTCTTGTATGTGGGGCTGTACTTGAAGATTGCTTGGAAATTCATGTTCAAAATAAAGCCTCTAGGCAACTGACTAGGACTAGTTGTAGGACCATATTAAAAGAACTTAACTGGTTTCCAGTCTATTTCTGAGCACAATTCAAAGAGCTTTGATCTTCAAAGCCCAACATGGCTTAGGACCCAGGTACCTGAAGAAACACTTGATCTTATACAAACTTGCCATGGCAGATAATGTAGCTGATGGCCTTCTTAGTGGAAGCATCCAGTTCATGAAATTTCTTTCTGAGAAAACATTGCCTGGCACCAACACTGTTATCTTTTCAGCACCAGGGAAGATAGTTTATATATTCCTGAGCATCACCATTGTTAATGTTTGTTTATGACTATATTTTGCCCTGTGTTATATGCCATCCTGGAATCTCTGCTGATAGATGGTACAGAAATTTTTGAATAATCAAATAATAAATGCATACTGTTAATTGAAATGACTTATCTGCATTTTCTCTGTTCAGCATTCATTGTCAAAAGAAGTAGTAATTCTAGCCAGAACTTCAGCCAGAGCTTTATTGCTTGAGAACTCATTCTAAGTGCCCTGACCTGCAGTTCCTTACTGGCCAATTTAATGTTCAGCAGCACTTGAAACATCACTGAAAATATTCATCTTACTGTCCCCAAACATTTGTACATAAATATAGAGTCAGACCTGATATGAAATTCAAATCCTACTTCAGCTATGCACTTGCTGGTTTGTGTGAGTCCCTTATTGCTCTGCTGCAGTTCTGAATGTTTAAAATAGCAATAATAGTGATATGCCTGATGGACCTGTGATGAGAGCAAGCAGGAAGAACTGGGAAATCTGTCTTAAATTGCCCACAGTGCTGTTTCTTGGGCTGAGATGTTTGAACAGAGCAGGCATGTGGATGTCCCATTTCTGTCAGATGTTGTTGACATTTGGGGATTGGTGGGACAGGCTTCTGAGGCCACCAACTGGGCTGCCCCTCTTCATTCACTGATGCTTCCTCCTGTACCTAAAGTTCCTCCTTAAAAAGATATGGATGCCTGCAGGGGAAAAGTCCTGCCTTGTTAGGGAGTTTGTGGTCAGACAGTGTCTGCAAAAGGTTCTTTTCCTACACACGCGCTGCCTCGGTGTAAACCCACCCAGTTGTTAGATTCCTTTTCAAGGTAACAAGGGAAAGGATTTGAGCCCATGTGTAGGAATCATTGGGGGTGGAAAATGAACACTCCGTCCAGGGAAAAAGAGGCCTTAGTCAGAGTACAAATCGCTGGCAGAGAGAAGAATGCGCTTTGGAATTTAAAAGTCAGATCTGAGAACCTTGCCTGGAGGCAACTGTAAATGTTGGCCCCAGGAACAACTGTGAAGGAAGCAGCACTTGGAAGGAGGAGGTGGGGGACGTTTTGATAAAATAAAAATACGCTGTGCTCTGGTTGCTGTATTTATTCTCCCGTAATATGTGTGGGTGGCTGCTTTAATTACCTGTGTGTGGGTGGCGGGGGGATATTTTTTTATTTCATAACGTAGCAAAACGTATATGCCACTCTCAAACAAATCCATCAAAACTTGCAAGCCAAAGCCACCCATTCTCAGGCAAATTATTTTCTAGCTTTAGGGGTGCCAGTCCAACTCTTCCCCTACTCCCTTCTTCATCTCTTGATATGCATGGCGTTTCTTATTTTGAGAGCTTTCAGGCTGGTGGGGTGGGTTTCTGGGGGTCTCCCAACCATTTGCTTCTGCCCTGGAGATGA